CATCTATATGCATATATATATATACTATTTGAATATATCGCAGTAAATCATCCAGTCCCATGTTGATATGCTCTTCCTGGTATGTAATCAATGTCACTGGATAGCATAATGCTCCTTTTAAATAATATTACCTAGGTTTATCTTTGTCAGTATTTTTGTCAGCAGTTCGTTTGCTGTTTGCCAAAGATTTTGTTTTCTTTTCCCACCTATATCATGGCGCCTGCCTGGTATACACTCTATACAATAGGACACTAGGAGAATAAGTGTATTCCCCGTAACGATCTACGGCAAAATGGCGCCGATCAACTGCGCATGCGCGAGACGCCGGCAAAATGGCCGCCGCGACTAGCGCGATTGCCATTTCTTTGTATAAATAGATGAGGAATGATGTCCTGCTGTAAGCCCTGACCCTCTGAGGACGTGCATCGCATGAAACGCGTCAGGGGGGGCTACAGCTTATGGACATCTAGCCACTATATGTGGCCAACATCCTATGGTCAGTATTTTTGTTTGTTTCACCCCTTTTTGACCATTAAACTTGAGTCAAACAGCATCACACTATGTGGCGTCCTTTATTGGGCTCTCTTTGAGAGCACCATCTCCCACAGTGCCTCTCTGGACTAACGAGTTCCTTGACGCCCACACGGTTGGATGCAACTTGGCTACTGCTCTTCGCGGTGAGACAGAGGATAGGACGCAGTGCGATCTGACCAGAGCTCTGATGCTGGAGAGATCTTGCAGAAACTATTTCTCTACATGCGTTATTTTAACGCACCTCTGGTGAGTGCGCACTCTATCTGCTCCTAGGATTTTTTCACCTCTTTACAACCATTAATTTGGGACGAGGACTTTATGTGTGCTTCAACATTTTCATTAACGCACTGTTTACCATTGTGTCATATCTGTTTGACTACTGACATTCACATATTTATCTTATAGAGAATTATTTGTATTTTTGATTTCAGCGCTGCACCTACTTTTCTCTTATCATTGATTATTGTAAGGTGGGTTGGTTGCCTTTTTTTTGGTGTTCTAGCTGCTTGTGCATTTTTTTGTCTGTAGCGCTCGCTATACCTTTTTCACATATGCATACATGCTTTAACATAAAGAAACTACATATATTGCTTTAATTCAAGGAACAAACAACTTATATCGTTTATTTTTATTTTATTTTAAGCTACATTTCTTTTTGTATTTGAAATTGTTATTTTTTTGTATTGACTTTGTATCTTTTGTGTGTGATCAAATAAAGTCACACTGATTTTTCTTAGCTGGCTCTAGAAAGGATTTATTCCTACAACCACCTAAAGACACAAGAATATTAATAGAGTTTTTTCACAGCTCTAGAATTCCAACACGGTGGTGGCGGATATCGTGTTTGATGTTGGATCTACTGATCTACTTCGGGAGACATATTTTTATTTTTAATAAAAGATTTGTCAAAGACTGTCTCTGTCAGAGCCTGGGCCTTCTGCGGTGAGTGGCAATGTTTCTTCTTGCTGAGCCACCTAGAATGCTGGACAGCTCCCTTGACAATTATTTGGATGATCCTAGGGAAGTCAAGGGACCTTGTTTATCATGAACCTTGAACCCCTTGCTCCTCCCATGAACTTCCTGATATAAACCATGTCTCTGCACTTCCTGTTTGCCAGATTATTGTGCTCTCCAGCCAATATCGTGTTCCTTATCATCTCTGCTGTTATCCGTATTTTGCTACACTCGTTATTGACCCTTGGCTTGTTCTCGACTACTCTTCTGCCTGATCCCAACCTGCGACAGCTCCTTACTGACCTTGGCTTGTTTACTGACCACGCTTCCATTTGACCCTTACCTGTTCATATGCTACCGGACCTCTGCTTGTTCACCTCCTGGTGGGGTGATCCTGGGGACCATGACCTGGTGCCAACACGCAGCCAAATCCAACTCCACCATTAGGAGCTCTGGTGAACTCTTGGTACTTAGATTCCTCACCTCGGGTGATCCCACTCCTCTGCCACGGTGATCTGCCTGTGTACCTATCCTGCTGGTTTTAGGTAAGCCCTTCCACTGCTATAGCAACTGGTCTTTGAGCTTGACCCCTGATCATAAAAGCCTCCTGTCATTTTTTACACTACACTTTTTTTGTGAATGGGTAGCGGTTCCATGTACCCCAAACTCATTCACATGGGGGGGCCAGGATATGGGGCCCTCTTGTTAAAGGGGACTTCCAGATTCTGATAAGTCCCCTGCCTGCAGACCTTCACAACCACCAACCAGGGTTGTGGGGAAGAGGCCTTTGTCCTCATCTGCGTAGGGGAGATTTACTAAAACTGGTGCACTCAAAATTTGGTGCAGCTGTGCATGGTTGCCAATCAACTTCTAACTTCAGCTTGTTCAATTAAGATTTGGAAATAAAACCTGGAAGCTAATTGGTTTTTATGCAGAGTTGCACCAGTTTCAGTAAATAACCCCCTTTGTCATCTCTGAGCTAGCATCTCAATCCAAGAAGTAAATACTGTTGACCAAATCTATAGATTATGAAATGTAACATTTCTCTGATATGATTTGGTAAATTAAGAATTCTTACCCAGAAGTGGAAGCTTAAACACAACAGAAATTTATTGGTTAATAGTATGAAGGTCTAAAACTAACATAAACAATCTATCTAGTTACATAAAAGAAAGCTCTAACATATTACAAAATAGAAACAGTGAGACAGTAAAGACATAATACAAACATACATTTAGATATAAGTGCAAGGGATATACTCCATAATTACCATGCAACTGTGCGTGAGGGCTCCATTCTCGTAAACTTCCCCCCTTCTCCATCTAGTGTGTATTGATATAGACCTCTCATCCATTAGTTTTCATGGAGTAGCTCTCATTAGTGGGCATATCTATTTCCTTTTATAACTGGCTAATTCCAAATACCCTGTAATTAGCATACACCAACTCCCCTTTAAGACAAATCTTAGCACACCCTTTTTGGAAATTAAGTATGCCAGTACATGATCTTTTCCTGGGAAATTAAGTATTCAAGAAAGGCTGGCCACCTTTATTGCATATCTAAATGAGGGATTCTTTGAAGTGGATATTTTAGAAGCCAACAGGTTTGGGTCCCATTGTTAGATAAATTAACTCTGAAACCTTCTGAAAGACGATTCTCAGCAGAGGAGTGTCAGGATTTCTAGTACACAGTAAAGAAATTGTAATGAATAGAATATTCCCTCTGGCAACTTAAACCATCCCCCACTATCTGTAGAAGAGGGATTTATGAGAAGACATATTACACACCCACACTGATACAGATCTAACTGGACTATATTCATAATTACAATATTATTTACAGTTTTTAATGAAGATTTCACATAAACTCATTATCTAACAATACTGATCCTGAATAATGCCTAAACAAAGACAGTGCCAGAAACATTTGAAAATAAAAGGATTATTACTTGATTATGACCTTATTCAGCATGTTACTTTGCGCAGTTCTATACTTCTTCAACAAATCATCACCTTTGAATAGCCAATTATGTACAGTTATGCGCTTGGGGGCTAAAAACATGCTAGGGGGGTAAACTGGAGGAATCAATGGTGAAGAAGGATCTGGGAGTTCTGGTAGATCATAAGCTTAGTAATAGCATGCAACGCCAAGCTGCAGTTTCCAAAGTGAGCAAAATCTTTTCTTCTATTAAGAGAGGTATAGACTCCAAAGAGAGAGAACGAGAAATCATTTTGCCCATTTTCTCATCTGGAATATACAGTTCATTTTTTGGCACAGTTCACAAAAAAGATATTGGGGAAATAGAAAAAGTGCAAAGAAGGACAAACAAACTGATAAGAGGCATGGAGGAGAACTGAATGTATTTTCTCTTGAAAAGAGGAGCTTAAGGGGGGATATGATCAACATGTGTAAATATATTAGGGGTTAATATAGTGAACTTGGTGTAGAGCTATTTATCTTAATATCATCGCAGAGGACATGGGGCACGCTTTACATCTGGTGGAAAAGACTCCCTCAAGAGTTGGCTTAGTAGAGATTTTTAAAAAAAAGTCTGGATTCTTTCCTAGAAAAACATATTATGTCTGGATACTAATATTTAGAAGTAAAGTTGATCCAGGGAATATCCAATTTTCTCTTGGGGGATCAGGAAGGAGTTATTTGGATCATACTTTATTGGGGGTTTTTTGCCTTCCCTTGGATCAATTGTGGGTATAGGACAGTGTATATGGAGATACAAAGGTTTTCTTATTGTGTGTGTTTTTTTTTTTTGGATGAACTAAATGGACTGGTGTCTTTTTTTCAACCAGATTAACTATGTAACTATGTGCAAGGGAATGAAAAATTGGTGTTTGCCTTGAATATTATGATACAACTTCATGTTACACAATAAGTTAAGTGAACTTTTAGTTTGATAAGTTATCGTTCTCTGCTAATTTTGTAAATCAACCTTTCCTATTTTAATTTGTATACTACTACAATAATTATAGGTCACATTTTAATTATAACATTGGGTAGATGCCTATTTGTTTTATTCACATTTTTCCTTGTTGTATATTAACATATACAGTATGTACAATATCAAATACTTTAAGCTATAACGCTGCTCTCAGAAGACAGAAACATATTTAAATGGCTATCTTTGCTGCTGGTGCTGTTATTCTTTCAATCAGGTTAGCAGCAGCATTCCTTAGAGACTTATTTTTAAAGCTGTAAATAATGGGATTCAGCATGGGAGTCACCACAATATAAAATACAGAAACAATTTTATTTTGATGAAATGGAGAGTCCACTGTGGGTCGAAGGTAAATGAAAATGACAGTACCATAAAATATTCCCACCACAAGTAGGTGAGAGACACAGGTGGAAAAAGCTTTTCTTTTGCCGTAGTCAGAAGGGATATTTATAATAGTAATAATTATGTTGATATAAGAAAACAGCAATGCACATTAGACATCCCAGGATTATGATCCAGGAGAGGAGGCAGTTGAAAATAAGTTGGACAACATAGGTATCAGTGCAGGAGAGCTTCAGCAAGGGGTTAAATTCACAAAAGAAATGATCGATTATGTTGGGCCCACAGAAAATAAGCTCTGATACCGATAGAGCTGGGATGGTAAGAGACACGGCACTAATGAGCCAACAAGATAAAATAAGTTTCATACAAAATGCATTGCTCATAATGCCTCCATAGTGAAGAGGGTGACAAATTGCTACGTAGCGGTCATATGCCATGGTCACCAGAAGAAAATGTTCAGTTGCAGCACAGAGAGAAAAGAAATGGTACTGGGTAATGCAACCAGCAACTGAAATGGATGTGTTCCCTCCAATGAGGTCTGAAAGCATTTTGGGCACAGTGACTGCTGTGTAGCAGATCTCAAGGAATGAAAAATTAGCAAGAAGAATATACATTGGACTATGAAGGTGGTGATCTCTGTATACTAGGATGATAATCATCACATTGGCCATAAGGGTTAAAACATAAATGACAAGAAAGATAGTAAATAGATAGAAGTGCGTATCTTGTGATAGTGAAAATCCCAGGAGAATGAATTCTGTCACACTGGAATGGTTCATATTGCCTGTTGTCATAGCAACAGCCTTTTCTTAAACCATGTTCAATGGTGTCAGTCATTGCATATATAGAGCTGTTATTTTTAAATCAGAAGAAACATGTCAGCCGTACAACGCAGTATCTGTTCATGTACTGTTGAGCATATTTATAATTAGTACATTTGGATAGTCTATTATAATTTTTCGCAAGTGCATTAAATCAAGTGTAAAATGATGTTTAAGGTTATCTGAAATTTGCATCAATTCATGGCACATAATTCCAATCATTACTTTAATTAAGCTATTATGTTATTAAAAACATGTGAGGATTAATGTAGCGCTTGTCCTATTAACTTGGGTGGCAAAAATGTACACTGTAGGCCCACTACTATAAGGATTTAAAGACGTCTATTCTGAGCATCAGTGAAGCTCTGCTTCACATGTTTTAAGTACAAGGAAAAAATACTGGGGCTCCAGCACCCCATGGGCACCCACTAGACAAATTTGTTAGATCATGCTCAAATTATTGGATATATTAAGTATAGTGCTTATTACGTTATAGCAATGCAAAACTGTTATATAATAGTATATCTAAACCACAAAACAAAATATAATACATTACAGACTACCAGTCCTTAAATGTGGGGCTCCATTCTTTTTTTTTTTTTTCAATTTTTTCTTTATTTCCACCTGACAATCCTTCCAAATAACACACTTCCTCTCTCTGGGTGGGTACGCACACTCCTCCACTGTATCTATGAAGGCAGCAATGGTTGTCACACAGCCTTGACATCAAAATTGTCTGCCTTCGTTCATCTTCATTACATGATAATTTATGGAACTGTTAGTTTAACAAAGAAAGATTTATGGAGTTTTGTTTTCAGCTCACAGAAAGTGACAAGGAATTTGAATTTCTGGCAAGATCAACAGGTATTTTCAGTACTTACTAAAATGTTTCCATCCTGAAAAAAGAAAATGAATACAGTAACTGCAACCAAGGACAGGTAAGCTGCAGTATATATATATATATATATATATATATATATATATATATATATATATATATATATATATATATATACAGTATCTCACATAAGTGAGTACACCCCTCACATTTTTATAAATATTGTATACAATGTGAAGTAGTAAGTGTACAGCTTGTATAACAGTGCAAATTTGCTTTCCCCTCAAAATAACTCAACACACACCCATTAATTTCTAAAGTGAAAATGTACAAATTGGACCCAAAGTGTCAATTTTTTGTGTGGCCACCATTATTTTCCAGCACTACCTTAACCCTCTTGGGCATGGAGTTCACCAGAGCTTCACAGGTTGCCACTGGAGTCCTCCTCCACTTCTCCATGACGACATCATGGAGCTGGTGGATGTTAGAGACCTTGCGCTCCTTCACTTTCCATTTGAGGATGCCCCACAGATGCTTAATAGGGTTTAGGTCTGGAAACATGCTTGGCCAGTCCATCACCTTTACCCTCAGCTTCTTTAGCAAGGCAGTGATCATCTTGGAGATGTGTTTGGACTCATTATTATGTTGGAATACTGCCCTGCGGCCCAGTCTCCGAAGGAAGCAATCATGCTCTGCTTCAGTATGTCACAGTACATGTTGGCATTCATGGTTCTCTCAATGAACTGTAGCTCCCCAGTGCCAGCAGCACTCATGCAGCCCCAGACCATGACACTCCCACCACCATGCTTGACTGTAGGCAAGACACACTTGTCTTTGTACACCTCACCTTGTTGCCGCCACACACGCTTGACACCATCTGAACCAAATCATTTTGTTTTGGTCTCATTAGACCACAGTACATGGTTCCAGTAATCCATGTCCTTAGTCTGCTTGTCTTCAGCAAACTGTTTGCGGTCTTTCTTGTGCATCATCTTTAGAAGAGGCTTCCTTCTGGGATGACAGCCATGCAGAACAATTTGATGCAGTGTGCAGTGTATGGTCTGAGCACTGACAGGCTGACCCCCCACCCCTTCAACCTCTGCAGCAATGCTGGCAGCACTCATACATCTATTTCCCAAACACAACCTCTGGATATGACGCTGAGCATGTGAACTCAACTTCTTTGGTTGACCATGGCGAGGCCTGTTCTGAGTGGAACCTGTCCTGTTAAACCACTGTACAATCTTAGCCACCGTGCTGCAGATCAGTTGCAGGATCTTGGCAATTTTCTTATAGCCTAGGCCATCTTTATGTAGAGCAACAATTCTTTTTTTCAGATCCTTAGAGAGTTCTTTGCCATGAGGTGTCATGTTGAGATAACACCAAATTTAACACACCTGCTCCCCATTCACACCTGAGACCTTGTAACACTAATGAGTCACATGACTCCCTGGAGGAAAAATGACTAATTGGGCCCAATTTGTACATTTTCACTTAGGGGTGTACTCACTTTTGTTGCCAGAGGTTTAGACATTAATGGCTGTGTGTTGAGTTATTTTGAGAGGACAACAAATTTGCACTGTTATACAAGCTGTACACTCACTACTTTACATTGTAGCAAAGTGTCATTTTTTTTTGTGTTTTCACATGAAAAGATATAATATATTTATAAAAATGTCAGGGGTGTACTCACTTCTGTGATATACTGTGTATGTATATATACATACATATATATATGTGTATATATATATATTTTTTTTTTTTTGGGTGCGTTTGAATAGTATGGCGGTGTGTATATGACAGGTGACAATTAAAATGACACAGGTCTGTAATGCTATGAATTTGGACATTCTTTGGATAGATTTATTTCCATATTAATATATACTAGGGCTTCTTTATATAAATTGATCAAAAGTAAACTAGATCTTTGGTCCATGGCCTGGATTAATGATTTCTTTAAGAATCTGTTTGTTCAAATCAATAGTTCATTTTTTGTGCTGACATTTTTTAAATCTTCTTCTGTTCATCAAGGAAAGTGCAACTTTGCAAATAGCAGGTCACCAGTTACAGAATTCTGGCTATTGATCTTAAGTCACAAGGACACAAGGAGAGTTCAGAAGTCTTGTATGCTAACTTTTCACGCATAACTTTTATGCTTACCTTTGAAAAGCACATGAAACATAAGTAAAGAAGTATGCCGTAGAAAGTAAGCTGGTGGAAGAAAAGGAGAAAAAAATTGCAAACTTTAAGAAATCAGGAAGATAATTTGCTTATCTTGGTACTTGCAATATGCTTAAAGTAATATTTTAACATTGAGGCAGAAAATTGGAGGTAAAGCTATTTAAAGTAAGGAGTCATATGTATGCTTTAAAATCTTGAAGATTTTTTTTTTCCAAAAATACTTTTATTAGAAAAACAGGATGATTTGTATGATATGATTTGTGCGTCCATTTCAGGAGCGTGTGAGCCAATCAGTTGGGAATATATGAATAGTGAAGGAGTATAAAAGGTGTGAGATAAAGAGAAGGCAGAAAGGAGAATAGTTAGAGAAGGAGATGGAGATGAAGAGTGAGGTAGTGGGGGGGATAAGAAAGATAGAAGAAAAAAAAAAAGGGGGGGAATGGGTAGGAAGTAAAGGGGATGTTAAAGCGGAATTTTTGTGGATAAAATAATTCACATGATTTTGTACGAGCCAAAAAGATAGTCATATAGTTTACATGCAAGATCAGTCAAAGGGGCAACACGTGGGTCAAGAATCCGAAATGCAGGCCACGTTGCCGAGTCTCAGCCCATCCAAATGTGCACCAAATGCGTCTTCGGTGGACAGGGCATTCCCTAGTACAGCATTGTGTCTAATCATTCAGTCAGGGGGTATAGGCTGTTCATGCACTAATAGGCGATAGGTAGTGGTGGTTTTGAAATGACTCCAACAAGCCCAAGTCTTCCTGAATCTCTCGGGATGTTCTTTTGCTACAGAAATCAATTCCTCCATCTCCTAAATTTTGCTGATCCTAGCAAACCATTCTCGAATAGTGGGAACATGTGTTGAGCGCCAGTGGGCTGGGATACATTGTTTTGCCGCGTTGACCATGTGCATGGCGAGTGATTTACGGTACGTCCTAAATGGAAATAAGAAATGTTGGAGCAAGAATTGTGCGGGGGAGAGGTCTAATGAGTACATAGTTACTTGAGTGATTATGGATTGGATTTTCTCCCAGAAAGGCTGCAGCAATGGGCAGTCCCACCAGATATGCAAGAGTGTACCCGTCGCCTGGTGACATCTCAAACATGGATCTGAGATGTTAGGGTCAAATTTGTGAAGCAGGGATGGAACTCTGTACCATCTAGAGTATAGTTTAAAATTGTTTTCTTGTGTAGAGACACATATGGACCCTTTGTGTATATGTTCGTAAATGTGATCCCAGTCTTCTGGCGATAGCTGGAGTTGTAAGTCAGAGCACCAGGCCTTATAAGCTTTCCTAGACGGAGGGTCAGTGGTGTTTTCAAGGCATGTGTAGAGCTTAGATATAACATGTCTCTGGGGAGAGTCTGTTGAGCATAGTTTTTCAAATGGCGTCATCCACGGCGTCAAGGCTAAGGATGGCCATTTGATTAGAAGGAGGTCTCTGGGTAAGAACGTCTCATCTTTGAAAGTTAATGCAACTTCAAGTTATCTGTGGGGTTAGACCCGGCGAGAAAGGCACGAGACATACCAGTGGGATGTCTGGGTTCATTTTGATAGGAGTGAGTGGACCAGGGGTGGAAGAGAAACCTGTTTTCTTACTTATCTGATGATAACACGATAGAGTGGGGCCTATAAGAAGGTGTTCCCTGAACTCGGAATGTGGGAATTTTTCAGCCAAGGGGAGGTGGCGAGCACATTCATCTTGAGGATCGCTGCTCTGCCAAACCAAGAGAAAAATGGTTTGTCCTATGTCTGCAGATCTTTAGTGATACTACGTAGGATGGGTAAAAAAATTTTTGGCATAGAGTTCTGGATGGTGAGTCGGTAATTGAATTCCTAAGTAAGCGATGGCCTCGGACTGCCATGCGAAAGGAAAGTTCGTGTTTGCCTGTCTGACCGTATCTTGGGTTAGGGAAACATTGAGGGCTTGGGATT